GGTTATAAGAAGACGTATCCCCAATGGAACTGCGAAGACAACGAAACAGGAAAAGGGCCCTGCGTGCAGGGGCCCCTACATGCATAGGCAACAACCCAATACTCATCTGCATCTAGATTGAAACAGGGGGAACGTAGACGTATGACAAGGCAAAAGGAAAAGACTGAATGGCCTAAGGCTACCAAAAAGAGACTGCTAGTGACAGACTTAGGGATCACGTCCTATAGGGCTCAAAACTAACAAACAAAACATACAAATTACAGGTCACAGGATCAAGTCCCGCAAGGCTCAAAACAAGAAAACAAACTACAAAGCCAAACACTTGGTGTACAGCCCCACTGGGAAACTGCTATTTATTGCATATATATATGGGGTCCAATATATGTATATAGGACAGCTTACATGGGGGCCCAAAGGGGGGCGCCCTGCAAGGGCCCCCGCATATGGGGGGGGGCCTGCATGCATATCTAGAGGGGGGCCCGTGCATGCAGGGGGGATGCCCATATGAGAGGCCCCGGCATGTATGGGTCCCAATGCACAGGGGAACTCCTTTAACCATTCCTCCAATTCCTATATCTCGAAATGGGCCTGCCTCCTACACGAGGCATATATGGGCGCGCGCGCATATTAGGGGTTCCTGTTGAGCTTGCATGACCTCCACACATGCATTTTTCTTGGGGGGGTTGCATGCATGGGGGGCCCCAATGCCCCTCATATATGGGGGACCCCGCATATGCGGGGGCCCTCATGTAAGGTACACACATGCATGCCCCCCCCCCATGTATGGTGGTCCCCCATGTATGGTGGCCCCCCAGCGCATGCATGCATTGGATATCAAACAAACCGTTAGCCTTAAGGTATCCCCTAAATTAGTTTTGATGTTTATCTTGTTGACTCCATTTTGTTATGATTTCCAAAATACTAGCTTTCTAAACAAACTTGGTGATTGCAAATGGAACATGGGTTCCAGAAATGAAAAAAATATAGTTTTTTGAAAATTAATCTTGTAGTTTTTGACTCAGTCCAGTTTTCACGAAAGGCTTGTTCTAGACGTTTTTTTTTTGACAATGCTGGAAACTGAATTTCAAAAGTGGGGGTGTTTCCAGAGTAAGTGCGGCGATGATGAACTCTTGACCTTTTCTAGCGCATGTCTGACAACTCTTGAAAGCGGTTTCCGAGGTGCCACTTCAGGAGTTAGTGCAGCAGTGACGCACACTTGAATGGAGATTGAAGCGTAGTACGGCAAGGCGCTTTGTTTCTCCTTCTTTTCTCTATCTTTTTTTTTTTTTTTTTTTCCTATCTTGCCATCATAGAAACTTTATCTAGTCGATCAAAATAAGATGTGAGAGTGCGATAGCAGCATACACATGGACAAGCTAAGTGAGAACACATGCATCAATGGATGAAGTAGTTGTAGGAGAGAATAGACCGAGACAAGATTAAGATCAAATCCCCCGAGCGCAACGGGCTCTTAAGAAAATCGCAGGATCATTCTGGGTCCTTCTGGTCCAGAAGCTACCAGAGGACCCAACCAGTGAAACAGCGGACCCAGCTAGTAAAAAAGCGGACCCAGGGGTCCCAAGCTCATGTCAATTTTGCGTTGAATAGCTGCAAGGAATCCTGGTGAGTTTGACCTTCAGCACGAAGAGGAAGGCTGCCTCTCCTGCCGGCAATGTTCCCTTAGTCTTCGCCCAGTGCATGAATCAAGATATTACAACCATTTTCTGTTATTCGTTGCAGTAAGAGTTGAAATCTTGAAGATTTTGAAACAATGAAGATTGTCCTTCCAAAATCCTTTCCTCATTCTTGTGTAAGGCTTAGCAAAAAAATCTGGTAGGATTCGTTCCCACCATGATCCAACAGTCGAGATAAGGTCACTGGTTCTCCTCATTCATCTTCTCCAAGATCAGGTGCTTATCATACTAGTAGCAGGTAGTTTCAAACTTTTTATATTTCTTCTAGCCTTCAAGAATGAACCCTTATTATTCTCCTCATACTTAACAAAGAATGAAACATCGTAAACTAATCTACATGATTACATCCAAATATCAGGGCCGCGTTCTCGCCCAAATTTTTGAAAAACACGTGTTTGTTGTGTGCACACATTAGGCAGGCAAGAGCTAATCTTGAGGATTTTCCCATCAGAATCCCCAAGCTCTGCTTCATAGTTTGTCCACGGGCTATGGTGAAGGTATTACGGAGATCGAAAGTTATTAACCTGATAAGCAAAGACAAACGAACAGACTTCCAACCTACTTCCGAAACTCCTATTTCAGAAAAACAGACTTGGCTTGTTGCTTGTCTCACTCTTGACTGAGAACTTCAAGTTGTAGTACCCCTTCTCTTCATAAAACCTAACGGTCCATTCTACAACTGAAATAATCGCCACGTGCGGTAATAAGTAAAACATTTTTTTGACATCATAGCTAAATGACAGAAGCAAGTACTTATCTGATACTGATTTGTTAATGTTATTTAAGAAGGGGATGAGAAGATTAGTACAACGAAGGTTAAAGTGAGAAACAACAGGTAAGCGGTTGAGCATGTTATTGACGCAGAGAGAGACAAGTCGCGAAGCTCTCTGAAAGAGTTCTGAACAAGGACAAATGGGTCGCCGCTTCGTGACATCCTTACGTTTTGGAAGAACATAAGTTTTTCCCAAACTCTTTTTTGATTCCCATATTGTCAAAAGGTGAAGCTTCCAATATTCTTCCTTACATAAGTCCACAACAGAAAAATTTCCCGAGATTAAATAATCATTCTATAAAAAAAAAATACATTTTAAACTTCAAATTTTCATTTCATTTTAAAAAATGTCATTCCACTTTTCAAACTTTTCGTCTCACTTGAAAACTTTTCTTCCAAGAATTGGGTATCCCTTCTTATTTGAACTGCATACAACAGATGGAATGAAAGTTTGGATGAGTTCATGAAATATTTTAATTAAATTGTCATTCTATATATGAAATTTCAGTCATGAATAGGTTAATCCAATTTAAGTTACAAGATATTTTTTGTAGTATAATGAAAGTTTAATGAAGATATTTTATAAACTCATTCAAACTTTTATTCCATCTTCAATAAATAGATGTAGTAATATTGTAGTTGCAAGGGAAAACTCATTTTTAGACGGAAACTTGTCAAATAAAGCTGAAAATTTTAGAATTTGGCAAACATTGAAATAATAAATTTTAAATATGAAGGATTTTTTTTTAAATATAATATTTTTTCATCTTTCATTTCTTGTGGGAATTGTTTTTGCTATAGCACCTCTTATTTATTCTGCTTAATGGCGATCAATCTTGGGTTCTCGTTAAAGAACAGTTTCATCTCTCATGCATACACTAATGGACAACAAAAAAAAACGTATTATCCGCATTGTGATCGACGAGGCACGCAACCATCCCTTGTATCCGCTTAACCACTTATTGAATATCTTGCACCTCTTATTTATTCTGCTTAATGGTCATCAATCCTGGGTTCTCGTTAAAGAGCAGTTTCATCCCCCATGCGTATACTAATGGACAACAAAAAAATATATTATCCCCATTGTGATCGACGAGGCACGCAACCAGCCCTTGTATCCGCTTAACCACTTGTTGAATGTCTTCAGACGTTAATGAGGTAGAAGTGAGATTGGTTGAAAAGGAGCACGTTGAGAAATCGATGTTACATAGAATCTGGATAGGATGACTACGAAAAAAAAAGTTTAAGAACACATATTGCCTCATTTTATTGAGAAGCGATCCTGAAATTGTGAATCAAATTAGTCACCGACTTGTTTTTAACCCATACCAAACGAAATCACCTACACACGTGTTCTAAATACAGCTTTGGCAACTTAGTAGACCCAGTTAATAACTCAATAATTTGTTTGCGCACCTTGCATACTTCTTCCTTTATCAACTTATCATCATACCTAATTCTTACAACTATCGTCTTCACCCGAAAATAACATCCGGGCATTGTCTACGAATATAACGTCCGGGCATTGTCTACGAATATAACGTCTGCCAAGCGTTATATTCATCTATAACGCTCGAGCACTATATTCAGTAAATTTGTGGTAACTTCGGTGAGGCCCCAAAGTTTTGAAAAAAAAATATAAATAAAAAAATTAAAAAAAAAAAAAAACATACGTTATCCGGGATTGAAATGCGACCAACTGTTGGCTGAGGTTCACTTCAGAATTCCTTATAAACTCGAAAAAAAAAAAAAA